TTTTTTTTTTTTTTTTTTTTTTTTTTTTTTTTTTTTTTTTTTTTTTTTTTTTTTTTTTGGTATTGAGGATTGAACCCAGGCCTTCACGCACACTAGGAAAGAGCTCTATCCTGAGTTACATGTCAAGACCGTCCCTTTTAATACTTTTTTTGTACTTCTAATCCTTATACGTAACAACAGTGGCATAACCAGAAAAACTAGATTTCAAATACATAAAACATAAAGCATAAAGTATGAAAACTTACTTGGCAGCCTGGACATCTGCACTGGAAAGGTTTCCTTGAGCAATTGTTTTTACTTGGTTATAGGCAGCCTTGATAACCTAAGACAGACACACAAATGAAAACTGATCATCTTTGGCCAAAGCCAATGTCTCCTGAAGCAACCAAACACAAAAAGCACATGGTGGAAAGTTAGTTTTAAAGATATAGCAGTGTCTATTTGGAATTCTGTAGTAGCTGTATCCCTTTAAGCAGCTGTTTATACAACTTATAGTATCCAAGCAGCCAAGCTTTTTATAACTTAAGAGTCAGAGGGCAAAAGATGACTGAAGAGGAGGGATCTTCTTCAAGGAAGAGCAAACACAAACACATGGATTTGTCTTCTCCTATAAAGAATAAACATTCTGAAAACCCCTCCAGATGTTTTCAGTGTCATGCAATTAATACTGCTACCTCTTACTCTTCACTAAGAAGCAGAAATTCACACAAACTCAATTTGTAAGGCTTATTTTGTCCATACCTGGAACACCAGCATTAAAAAGGAATCAAGTTGCACTGATATAGAGGGTTGGTAAATATTTACTAAATAAATAAATGAATTAACCTGTCTCATGATCTTCTCGATCTTAATCCTGGCACCATCTGGGTCTCCTACCTATCGTTCCCCTGATCACCTAAATTCTAGGACACAGTTCCCTTCCATGTTAATTACCCATTTCCATAGTCACACCTGTCCTAACTGACATCCTAACTCCCAATTCTAAAGCTTCTGGCCTCAGTTCTGTCCTTACCCTTCTACTTTTATCAACATTTCTACTTCCTTGATTTGTCCACTTTCTCTCAATCTGCAAGTTCCTCTGGTCTCTCTTCTCTGTCTGGCCTATAGCTATAAATCATCCCTCAGTCACTCTTGCCAGTGCTCTTTCTACTTCGAATCTACTCAGGATTTTTGCAGGATTCCAACCTGGGATTAATCCTAGTGCCTGACTCCCCTGTTGTTTCATTACGATAATAAACATTAATAGATTAAAGTTAGAAAACAGACCTGGCTTACTACACTGTGAATTCACAGTCACTCATTTCAAGCAGACACCTCTACTACTGCTGCCGCTGTGTGCATCTAGACACTCACTTGTCCCAAACCTCATCTCTTTCATATGTCCTCCTTCCTCTCATTCTTAAAACATGACAGCCTCCTATCTCACCTAGGATGCATTTCTTTGTCTTTCTGACATTATTCCACAACATTAGGTTCTATTTCCAAGATTAAACTGTTCCACTTATATTCTGGATCTGCTTTTCCAGACTCGAGCCATTTATCATTTTCTAACTCCTATATCTGCTCCAGTCCTTTTCTTTATGAATGTCTTTTCCAAACTCTCCTAAAGCTACCAGCCTCTTCCCTGCAAGTCTAAGTGCCATTTGCTCACATCAACCCGTCATTTCTTCTCATTTTTCCCTCACAATTAAACTTTAGCTCATTTCCAACTACTCTGGGGAAAACTAAGATCACTAGTGATGCTCTAGTTTGTTAAACTGCCAGACCTTTCTGTAGTAACTAACGGGATCCTAATCTCTAATGGAACAGAATGGTGTTAACTATTTTGTTTCCAGCCTCATATATACCAGTCTGCCTTTATTCCCTGTCTCCTACATTTCTTAGTTATCTGCCCCGTAAATGGTGGTGTTTCTCAGAACATGAGCTTCAGTTTTCTTCTATAATTTTTCACCCACAACTGTGACTTCAACATAATCTCTGTAGTGAGGATCAGTATATGTGCATCTCAGCCTTGACTTCTAGATTCTGAAATTAGACATCAGACAGCCAACTTAATGCCATTTGTCTAAGAACCACAATACTTAGGAATTTCCCCTCTTTCCTGGAAGATTTAGTATATATTTTTAGATTTTCCCCTTATCAGAGATACTTCAATGATACAAGACAGTGCTGATAAATCACAGCATTCAGACATTCCCTATTTTAACTAAAACCATATAAATTTTGGGAATAGATTTTGAGAGCAGGCAAGTTTAAAACTTACATCTCTTGCAGCTGCAGCTTGTGAGATAGTGTAAATCCCAAAGAGACCAGAATCTGAATAACTGGCATTAAAAGCAGAAACCTGAAATACAATGAAACTTTATTATATGATATTCTACCAGGTAAAAGAGAGAACAACTTCCTCAAGGTTGTCTAACAGACACTTGCACCTTCATACTATAAGCAAAATAGGTTAATATTTTCATTTAACAAGTCTTGCGAAGGGCTGAAGTGTTGTGTACACAGTTTACCTCTTTCACAGCTCCAATGGTTTAAACATTTTTCCATTTAAATCTTTCTAAAACAACTGCTCATTTTATTTTTATTGGGTTTTTTGCTTGTGATGAATAATAATGCAAATATTATTTTAACATACAGTATGGCCAAGTGCTATACATCATGGACTCTGGCATTAGACAGATCTGCTTTTGTCTCTCTACTGTTGATGCTTTTTCACCAATTTGCTTTCATTTTTCTTACAAAGACAAAGGTTTAGAAAAAATTTCTGCTTAGAGACCAATATCTAGGCAAGTTTAGCTTCCAGGTGATAGAGATAATTCTTGTCTACAGTCTGAGCCGTTTTAACTCCTTAAGGTAAAACTGATTGCCGAAAATAGTGTTTTGCAGTGTTTATATAAAATGTAAACCATCTGCCAAAAAAAAAAAAAAAATCATTGTAAGTGATTAAAAGTATATAGACTTTCAGATTCTGGCAATAGATTTACTGACTCGCATATCGTGGATGTAGCCTGGGAACCCACATTTTTAACAAATGATCCAGATGATTCTAATGCACATTAAAATTTGAAAACCATCAGTTTGATCCACATAAAGTGTACAAAAAAAACCACTTGCATTACTTGAAAGTTTAACTATAATTTTAAAACTGTATTACTCAAACTCCAAATTTTGCCCAAATCCTGAACTAGGAATTTCTATAAAATTATCGGGTTAGGATTAAACTCCAGTCACACAAAACCATCAGTAACATTTAATGGTGAAAAGTAAAGCAGTAAGAAAACAGTGGGTTACGAACAAAGAGAAAAAAATCAGGAGGAAATTAAAACAGCAAAATCTAATTTAGGACTAATTTAAGATGATGGTTTTCAAACTGTGTTCCAGGGAACCCTAAGGCTCTCTCTGTACAGATAAAGGACTTCACAATCAAGTAACACATCAAAATTTCTTTTGTGTTGTGCACCACACATCTGGGAAATCATATGGGAAAAAAAGGTTCCTCTGCTAACAAAATGAAACAAAAAAACTCATCAAGTTTGTTAAACGGGAATAAAAATAATATTGATTCTAATTTCCACTGTTAAGTGTCAAATGGCCAAAGACTAAATGAAGCATAAAGCTAATGTGCCATGTACTGCAGTGGAAACTATGACCAACTTCAATCCTACAACTTGGAACATTTTAAAAAAGCATATTACTTAAAGTCCTCTATGTGATTACATGAGGCAAAAAATGCTTACTTATTAAATAATTTTCAGTTACCGGATATTTCATATTCTCCTGATGTATCTGTATTTTGAAGGCTTTAACATTTCTTTGTTTTAAAAAAGTGTTTTCCAAATTGTTTGTTATGATTAAATATTTTGTTTTAATCTCATCTCAAACTGGAGAGGTAGGTCTATAAACAATTCTCTTGTGTATGTGTTGCCCATATGGCTGGAAAACAAAGAGCAGTGAAACTCAAGCAGCTACACAACAGAATGGGAAGAATTATCTAGAAAGAAATACTAGTTAGAACCTAGGGAAATGTTTAATATCTAACACTTATAAAAGGAAGGAACTGATGTATGACTTTGACTTTTTCCCCTAAGCATTAAATTTTTCTTTCTGTATTAGAATTGAAAAGACAGTTAAGTTTTTTTGTATCTTTTTTTTGAGACAAGAGTATTGCTATGTATTCCAGGCTGGCCCTGAACTCATGGTGACCATCCTCCTGCAGCCTCCTGAATGCTGGGATTACAGGTTTGTGCCACCACGACTGGGTAGAACAGTAAGTTTCTGACAGACCCACTAATGTATTTAAAAGTCGAGACTAACTATTTCTGCAACTGTATAAATTCTTTGTGTTTACTTTAATTTTTTAAGAACAGGTGATCCGGATCACATCATAAATACTAAGCCTTTGAAAACAAAAAGCAGAGAGAGGTACCAACTTCTCAGACTCACATCAAATGGCTGGTGATTTCCTTTGGCAATAGCCTGGTATAGGAGGTTGGTGGTATTGCTGCCCCTCTTGACATGTGGTCCAGCTCCTAGGACGTGCTGAAGAACACTAAATGCATTTGCTTCTGTACTTCCAATGGCAGCACTTTCTGCTACAACAGCAGCATGGACAAGACTGTCTCCACTCTGTTTTCGAATTTCACCTGGGACCATTACGGAGAGGGCAAAGAGGAAAACAGTTTAGTCACCATCGATTTTATGCTTCAGTACTCCCTATGACATAGTACTGACCCACTAACATTAAGTTATTGTGAAGCTGTGCTCTCCCCAGGCCATCCTATCCTACATAACACCAACATATAACACTTGTTATATTCCTTATATAACAAAATGGCTTAGTGGTAAATGATGAAGCCTATTCCACTCCAACATGCTCTTCTAGCAGGGAAGCATCCTTCTGATAAATTAAGCATAACACAATATACTGCTCACCTCCACGGTATTTGGCCTTTGCACCAGATAAACCAAGCCCACCACGCATGTTGAGAAACTGCTCGGCAACTTGCTTTAGAACAGGATGACTCACACCTGTTTGAACATTAACAAAAACAAAGCTAGAACCAGTACTTCTAAAACAGTTATAAAATATCTACTGCTAAAAAAGTTTTCTCACCATGTCATTCTCCAGGTATCAATTTAGATTACTATGTATATTTTTTTCTCTAAACAGATAATCTCTCTCCCTTCCCCTTTCTTTTTGGTGCTGGGGATTGAATTAGGGCCTCAAGCCTGCCAAACAGATGTCTGAGATATATTCCCAGCCCTTATATTTATAATGGTATCATTCTACTAATGTTTCTAATTTATCTTTTGCAATTTGTACCTGATTGGTCTGCTCAAACATTTAATGGTAATGAGGAATTCCATTCACCTGGGCATGGCACTGCTTGCCTAGCACCCCAGCACTCTGGGAGGCTAAGGTAGAATGATCCCAAGTTTGAGCCCAGCCTGAGCAACTGAGACCCTGTCTCAAAATAAAATGTAAAAGTAAAAAGGGTTGGGACTATAACTCAGTGTGAAGGTCCTAGGTTCAATTTCCAATACTGTAAAAAAATAAATAAATAAAAATCCATTTTATGGATGTTGTACCATCGTTTATTCAATCCATCCTTTTTGATGGACATTAGCACATTCTAACAGTAAACAATACTGCAGTGTCCATGAAAGAACACTATCAAGAAAGCAAAGAAAGGGATGGAGATTTAGCTCAGTGGTGCTGTCACCTGCCTTGCAAGTGCAATGTCCTGAGTTTGATCCCCAGCACAAAAAAAAAAAAAGAAAATACTCATGAATCATATCTGTGATAAGAGTCTCTGTTATCCAAAGTTATATAAAGAACTTAAGAATAAAAAACAAAGGGCTGGCTGGGAATTTAGCTCAGTGCTTCTGCTGCCTGCCTCGCAAGCACAAGGTTCTGAGTTTGATCCCCAGTACCAAAAAAAAAAACAAAAGGGCTAGTGCTCATAGGCGGAGCATTTGTGTAACATGTACAAGGCACTGGGTTCAATCCTTAGTAACACACACAAAACCCCAAACAATTCATTTAAAATACAGGCCAAGAATGTGAATGAACATTTCCCCAAGAAGTTATACAGATGTCCAAAAAGAAAATGAAAAAATGACTAATGTCATTGGTCATTAAGAAAACTCAGGGCTGGGGATTTAAGTCAGTGGTGCCATGCCTGCCTTGCAAGTGCAAGGTCCTGAGTTTGATAGACTCTGGTACCAAAGGCAGGGGAAAGAAAATGCAAATAAAACCAACTTCACACCCACTAGGACAGTCATCACTAGAAAGACAGCTGATAATAATCTTTGGTGAAGATGTGGAAACTGGAACCCTTGTACTCTACCTGTGGAAATGTAAAATGGTGTATCTACTTTGGAAAACAATTTGGCAGTCCTCAACTGTTAAACATAACTACCATGTCCTGACAATAGTCAAAAAAATTGAAACCAAGTATCCCAAGAAAAACTTACACATGAATGCCTAAATTCAAAATTACTAAAAGCTGGATTGGGTGGCAGGCCTGTAATCCCAGCACTTGAGAGGCTAAGGCAGGAATATCCTCACAAGTTCAAGGTCAACTTGGGCCACATGAGTTCAAGGCCAGCCTAAACTACTATGTAGGGAAACTAACTCAAAAAGCCAAAAAATAATAATGAAAAGAAAAAAAAAAAACACTAAGCACCAAAAAATGCCCCCACAAAACAAACACACACAAAAAAATGAAAACCAACAAAAGAACTTCAAAATCACTAAAATGTGAAAACACAAATGTCAATGAATGGCTAAACAAAATGTAATAATGGGGTATTTTTTCAGCCATAAATGGGAACAGTGACACCTGATACAGTATGTATGGACTCTGAAAACATGTTAAGTGAAAGAAGCCCATTATAAAAGGCCACCTATCATGTGAGTCCATTTATATGAAATGTTTAAATTAGTCAAAACTACAGAGCTACAAAGTAGATTAGTGGATACCAGAGGCAGGGAGACAGCGAATAGGGAATAACTTGCACATGGGTATGGGGTTTCTTTGGGGATAAGAAAAATGGTCAGAAATTTGTCATCATAGTGGTATAACTCTGATGTATTAAAAAAGGTACACTTTTGGTTTTGCTTTTGGGGGCCAGGATGTGGCTCAGTTGTAAGAGTGCTTGCCTAACACAAACAAGGCCCTAACAGTATAAAACAGGAGGGGGGGTTAAATTTATGGCATGTGAATTATACCTGAAGCTGTTACAAACTGTTAGGGATTGTGTAGATGTCCCCCTCAAAGCCTCATGTGGTCATAGGTGGGGCTTTTTCAGAGGTGGCAGAATTTAGGGTGTGATGCTGAAATTAAGGATAGGTAATTACTAAATCCATGCACTGATTGGTTTAGTACTGCCCTAATCCTGGTTGCCTAGAGTATAAAAGGGACAGGAAGAAGCTGCTAAGGACCCTTGTTTGCTCTGTGGCCTTCTGCCCACCATGAACTGTTTCTCCTCTGCAATGTCTGTCTGCCATGCCACCCTGCCTTGGAGCTGGCTGATTATGAACTGAAACCTCTACAAACACTGAGCTAAATAAGCCTTTCTCCCTTTAACTTTAAAACATTGAGTATTTTATTTCAGCAATGAGAGAAAAGTAATTAAGATACAAACCAAACCAAAATGTAATGATATCCTCAGGCAAATATTTTATAAACTTGACCAAGTGTTTTTTTCACAACACATTCTTAAAAGTTCCTGGTTCTAGGCATATAAACATTCAGAATTGATACATATTTAAAAATGTATACACTCATAAATATAGTTTTCCCAAAAGCACCAGTTTATACTCCTACCAACAATTCTGGACACTACCCGTATCTCCATACCCTGATTAATGCTAGGCAATGTCAATCTTCTGGTTTTTGCTAATCTTACAAATTAAAATTTTTATTAGTGAGGCTAACAGTCTTTTAAGACAGTCAGATACACACACACATACACACACTTCTGCATGAGTTGTCTGCTGAAGTTCTTTTGCCTATTTTTCTATTAAATTGTACTTCTAAAAGATAGGTTATAAAAACTCTGCTTAAAGGAATTCATCCTTGTCACAAGTTTTGCAAATACAGTAAAGAATATAAAGTAATTACATAGTTAAATATTGGATTCTGCTTTCCCAAACAAATAGCAGTTAAAATCCTACTATATATTGTCTGTCTGACATAAATACAGGCTTTCAAATTTTGTTCAATCTTATGCTCACCATAATCTCAGTTTAAGGGATTGCTCTTATGGAAGCAAACTGATACATACAGAATTCCCAACTTACCAAGTCCAACCAAAGCCATTCTTGCACTTGTAAAATTGTTCTGAACGTAGTAGTGTAACTGAGGAAGTTAAAGAAAATTCTCAGGTTACATTGGTATAAATACAAAAAGCTGTAAAAGGACAGAGGTGCAATTATCCAAGCTACAAGGCTGCTATACTGAATTACCAGGGACTAATTAGTGCTGAATTACTCTTTGATTTTATTATGAAATTATTGCTCAAAAAGAATTAAAAATTAATTGTGGTCATGGGTGTACAACATTGAACACAATAAAAACCATGGAAGTGTTCATATTAAATAATGTGTGGTTTGTGTTTTACATCTCAGTAAAGCTATTATTTAAAAATGAATAAAGATTATATACTAGCTTGAACTTGAAAAAATGAGAATAAGCTTGTAATTTTTATCATTCTATTACTATTATTTTTTTCTGGTACTAGGGATTAAACTCAGGACCTTGTGCTTGCGAGGCAGGCATGGCATCACTGAGCTAAATCCCCAGCAAACTTATGATTTTTATTATAGTATGGTTCAAGCAGCACATTATATTTCTTTTGTCTTTAACCAGGTATTTATACTACAAATATCCTACAGCAGGTCTAGTAGAGTTGTTAAAACTACATGCTTCCCACCTATCTCTGATGCCAATCATGGTTTATAATATTACCTTAGGCTTAATACACAAAATAGGACTAAAACACATATTCTCAACATATGCTTACTTCCTTCAGGGGGCAGAAAATTGGTTCTTGGAATTAAGGGAAAAAAAAGCACCTTTATTATATATACACATATGACATTTACAGTAATATAAACAGTGTCTGTGGCATTAAAAAATCCATTAGAGGGATGTAGTCTCTTGGTGGTGTACTCTGGTTTGAGACTTGTGGAGAGAGGGTGAGGCGTGGAGACAAGACCAACTCCAGGGAAGATTTTGGAGAATCACTTCTGCTTTTATTGTGTGGTGTAGCCAGGCTTCTGGAGCGCCCATAGAGGGATTTAAAGACAAACTCCTTGGGGAAGGAAAATGACAATGTTGGGAAACATTGGCTAAAGTAAAGAGACTTAATTTTAAACTTTTAATCAACTTATCAGAAGTTGTGCTCTAAAATGAATAGCGGATATCTACGGAGTTGCCCTTGAAAGAGATACTTTTTGTTCTATCAATGTTTTTCTTTTTTTTTTTTTTCTATCAATGTTTTTCTATTGAAGTTTAAAGTAGCTACCACCAACTTCTTTAGAATATCCTTTAGTCTAGAAACACATTTTTTAAAAACATTAATACCTTTGTGAGAACCAGTTTCATCATGGTTAAAATATTGGTCCACAACAACATAACACCTTTTTTCTTTTTCAAATGGGATCTTTTCACAAGGCATGGTGGTGTACACCTGATATCACAGAACTCTGTGAGGCTGAGGTAGCAGTATCAAAAGTTTGAGTCTTGTCTGAGCAACTTAACAATTTAGTGAAACCCCGTCTCAAAATAAGGAATTGAAAAAACAGGGTGGCCCTGGCCTTTGGGTCTTGCTGGGTGGCTCATTTGAGTCTGGGATGCAGCCTTCCGGCTCTGAAGCACCACCTCCATGTATCTACTCAGCAAGGCCAAGGACTCCGCCACGGCCCCCACGTCAAGTTTGCGCTTTCGGGACAGCACTGACAGCAAGGCTCTAGATGGCAGGGTCCAGAGCAGCAGGACCTCCAGGAAGCTGCAGAATGGGAGCTGCTTCTCAGGTGTTCACAAGAGACAGTGGGGGACACAACAGGAGACTGAAAAGAACCCCCTAGAAGGAAAAGATACACAGAACATCTGGACAGACACAAAACTCCACCTGTTTCTTAGACCATTCTGCCACAAGCAAAAGCCTTAAGTCACTGATGGAGAGTCAACAAATAGCATCCCAGAACACAGATGTTGCTTTTGGGGGAGAAACAGAAGCCAAAACCCTCTGCCTCTGAGAGAGGGATAATAAACCCACTCAAACCCATGACAAAGGCAAAGACCTTTTATTTCTTGGAGGTTGGGGGCAGAAGCAAAAAACCTTCATCTGGAGGACAGCAGAAATAATTTGATACCATTATTTACTACCACTACTGAGGAAGGAACAGAAAATCCTGCTGAAGACTAACCACTAATATATGAGGAAAAGAGCTGGGAAAACTAAAAAAACCTAACTTCTAAAGTAGGCTCGGCCACACAGGTACACTGCCTAACACTAAGGCTGGGATAGGACAACACAGATTGTAGACAGCGGCAAACAGAATTACATATTCTAAAATTTCCAGGAGACGACATTGCTGAGAGCCCACCCAGCTTGCAAGGCCAACTTCTGTGACTTCTGTCAGCTGCATGCTGCATGGGAAGGACCTGGGAGAACCTGAAGCCACACAATCGAGGCAGTGACCTTTGAGGATGTGGCTGTGAACTTCACCACAGAGGAGTAGGTTTTGCTGAATTCATCCCAAAAGAAGCTCTAGAGATGTGATGAGGGAAACTTTTCAGAACATGGCTGCTGTAGGAAGAGCCTGGAATAACCAGGAAATTGAAGAAGAGTACAAAAGTTACTGGAAAAATCTAAGAAATGAAGAAGAAATACCATCAAAATAAAGTTTGGAATCAATATGAAGAAATATCCTTTGGACTCCAGATGCCGATGTGGAGATGAAACAAGCTGGTTTAAAACCAGCTGAAAGCCTTGCTTGCAGAAAGCCCGATTGGGCATTTGTCACTAAATGTGCCCATTATAGCTCACAGTGGACTGAAGACATCTGAGTACTTGGGATCAGAAGAGAAGCTGTGTAAATGTAATGAACATGGAAGAACCTGTGATTTTCAGTCCTTTCAGAAGCATGCAAGGACAAAGACCGTAGAGAAGCCCCTTGAATATGATTAATGTGGGAAATCCTACTCTGATCTCAGTGGAAGAGCTCACCTTAGAGAGACCTTTACATATAAGAAAAATGTGAAAGCCTCCAGCACACCTAATGATGTTCAGATCCATGAAAGAAATCATGGTGGGGAGAAACCCTATGTGTGTAAGCAATGTGGAAAAGCTTTCAGTAGGCGTCAAAATTGTAAACATGAAAGAATTCACACAGGAGAGAAGCCCTATGTATGTGAACAATGTGGGAAAGCTTTTAGTACACAATGTCATTGTAAAATACATGAAAGAAATCACACTGAGGAGAAACCCTATGCATGTAAGCAATGTGGGAAAGCTTTTAGTACATGACATTATTGTAAAATACATGAAAAAAATTCACATGGGAAAACCTATGTATGTAAACAACGTGCAAAAGCTTTTAGTGCACATTATTGTAAAATACATAAAAGAACTCACACTCAACATTAATTTGTACATGTAAGCAATGCAGGAAAGCTTGCAGCATTTGTGGTGTTTGCCAAAGACACAATGGGGAGAAACCATATGTATATAAGCAATGTGGGAATGCTTTCAGTACAAATGTATTGTCAAATACACAACAGAAATCTCACTGGGGAGAAACTATATATGTAAGCCCATTTTGAAAATCCTGTGAAAATTTCTTACATAGTAGTGATAATTACTCCCATAGGAGTAATACAAAAAGCAGAAGATAAATATTTCTCCATAAAATTAAAAAAAAAAAAATCCCAGATAGAGATCTTGAAGTACACACATTATTTGTTTTTCAGTAAATCACTTATCTGAATTATGTATATCTGTAGTGTTCAATATAAAAATATTGATCTGACAGGTATTTCTGTGTATCTCTGAGCTTAATACATAAGTGTTTTAATTAAGCATGGTGAATTAAAATGTATTTTTTACTTTCAAGTAAAAATAAATAAATAAATAAATTTTAAACAATTAAAAAGATGCAGTTCAGTGCAAAAGCCCTGGGTTCAATCCTCGTACCGGGGGAAAAAAATAGCAGGAACCTCTTGGTGTATACTATAAATAGTATACATATAGTATTTATATTGTTTATATATAGCATTTATTTGACAATATGTCATGTAAAATTTACATTATCAGAAATATTTTAGAATGGTTGAATAGTGTATCTTTCTACAATTTTTTTTTCCTGTACCAGGGATTGAACTCAGGACCTTGTACTTGCAAGGCAGGCATAGTGCCACTGAGCTTTTTTTTTTTGTAGTTCCCTGGACTTTTTTTTTTGTTGTTCAGGCTGGTCTTGCACTCCCTAGGTAGCCCAGGTTGGCCTCCAACTCGTAAGAATCTTCCTGCCTCAGCCTCCCAAGGGCTGAGATCATAGGCAAGAGCCACCATTCCAGGCTCTACAGTTATTTAAAGTTATTTTACTAATCCCTTAATGTTGGATAGTAACTTGTTTCAAATTTTTCCCAACTGAAAAACAATGCCATAATAAACACCCTTGTAGATAGATGCTTTGCTCTAAGCATTATTTTTGGCTACTTCAATCACAATTTCTCACAAGGATGAGCTTGATTTCTGAAAAATTTCAAAACTCATTAGAGGCCATTCTTATGAAAAATGCTCCTGCTCAAATTGGATATGATTTATCATTTTTGAATAAAAATACCTTAGGAGTGGTCAGCATTAAACTGATAAGTCAATGAGAAAGGGATATAATTTAGTTTTCTGTAGCAGCTAACCAGAAATGAAGTGAGATTAAAAACTTAATTTCTGAGGGCCGGGGATTTAGCTCAGTGGTTTCGCTGCCAGCTTCACAAACACAAGGTCCCAAGTTCGATCCCCAGTACCAAAAAAATAAAACAAAACTCAAAACCAAACTCAATTTGAGTCAATATTAAAGTGTTGATAATTTTTTAAATATTATATGATTAATTCTGGGGGGCATGGGTGGGTTGTAGAAGTAGGAAATTATATGTATCTCTATACTAGCAGATTTAACATTCAGTGTTTCTTGTTTTGGAAACATAGTTCTTCAGCATACCTATGGCTGTGACCTGTGATAAAGTTGCACTGCCAACATGATGAGGGAGGTGTGCTGGAAAAGGTGACTGAGGCAGTGAGTGAATGGTATGTACGGAAGTAGGGTTCAGAGCTACAGATATATTCAGAGGACTAAATACTTTTAAAGGATTTACTCTAATAAACATTTAAATATTGTTTTAAAAAGATACACACACACACAAAGATACACATATAAGCCGGGTGTGGTGGCACACACCTTTAATCCTGCCACTCGGGAGGCTAAGGCAGAGGATCATGGTGAGTTCAAGACCAGCCTGGGCTACACAGTGAGTTCCAGGTCAGTCTCACCTACATAGTGAGACCCTGTCTCAAAACCACCCGCCCCCCACAAAAGATACACATGCACAGAAAAGGACACACAAAAGAAAATATACCAGGTATTAATACTGAGTACCTTTAAGTATGTAAAATATTTTCTTTTCATTCATTTTGTTTATTTCCACATTTTTTTCTGTAATAATCATATCTCCCTTTATCAAAACGTTTTGTTTTTGCTTTGTTTCTTGAAACAGGGTTTTTCTATATAGTTCAGGCTGGCTTTGAATTGCAATGAGCCACTTGTGTCAGCCTCCTGGATTACAGGCACTCATCGGCACACTCTGTCAAAACTTTTTTTACTTAAAAGACATACAAACACTGCTCTGACGGAAAGCAAGCTCATGAAAAAAAAAAAAGAAGCAAGCTGAATTTTTTAAAATTAGAAGATAAAAAGAAAAGTCAGCAACCTCCTGTAATGATAGATGACTGTTCAATTTAATGTGGAAACAAACATATTTAAAAACCCAGTATATTTTACCAGTTACCTCCTCTGACGTCACTTTTCCAATCCTATAGTCAGGACAATACAAGGAGTTAGACAATGCATTTCGGTAAGCAGCAGCGTGCAAATTTTCAATGACACCTATAAGATAGATAAGTAAAGAAGCAATTACTGGAATATAATTTAAGTAAAGATGATAATTCTTTTCTTTGGTACCAGAGATGGAACTTGGGTCCTTGTGCTTGTGAGGCAGGTGATGGAACCACTGAGCTAAATCCCTGGCAATATTTTTAAAACTGAGAACAAAAAGACTGCTTTACAATTTGACGTTCAAGTAGTAAGAAGACTTACATTTATTGTCACTATTTCTAGCAACTTTTTTTTTGTTTGTTTTGGAGACAGGATCTCACTATGTAAGTTCCAGCTGGCCTTGAATTCAATATGTAGCCCAGGCTGGCCTTGAACTCCTGGTCACTTTCCTGGCATAGCCTTCCAAGTTATGGCATTTACTTCTAGCAAGTTTTAAAAATTCTGCCAGCTGAATGAGGTAAGAAAAAGAAGAGATTACATGGCATGACAAAATTCACCTAAACACTTCTATGGGATATCACCTGGAAAGTATAATGAACTAGGTTTCAGAGAGTCTGAATCTAATTATGGTTCTACCACTCCCTGATCGTGTGACCTCATTTAATCTCTCTTTTTTTTTCGGGACAAGGTCTTGCTAAATAGTTTTAGGCTGGTCTTGAACTCACTATATAGTCCAACCTGGCCTCCAACTTGTGGCAATCCTCCTGCCTCAGTCTCCTGAGTGCTGGGATTACAGGTGTGTGTCACCACGCCCAAGTCAATATGAGTTTTACTTCTAGGTTCTTTCTCTAGGTAATTGTCAGGATATAGGGAGCTATGACAGTGTCAGTCTTAGATGGTATCACTAGTCTATAAGGGTCAAATACTATCATTGACTGTACTTACTCTTTTCTGATACCCTGGCATTGTGCTTCCCTTCCTGCTCTGATGCCTTTACTAGAGTTATATTTCCTGTATTTGTTCACTGTTGGGGCAACTTCCCCATGGCAGGCACTGTGCTTGGTGCTACAGATACAGAGATGAGTAAGATACAATGCCTACCCTCAAAATGTTGAGAGGAAGACTTTATGCAATAAAGTATCATGGGGGCATTGTCAGCAGTGTGTCAGAAGTACAGTGGGGGCATTATGGAAGGCAGTGGGGACAGCAAAAGAATAAAATAAATTATATATATATATATATATAGGATGAGTCTTATACAAAGAGTGTTTCCTAGGTATATGACTTGAGATCTGCACAAAAGTCAGAAGAAACAGACAAAGCAATGGTGTAAACTATCAGAGTAGTTTGAGAGGCAAAAAACTGCGGGGAAGGGAAGAAGATCGAGTAAGAAATAAGAAGTGGCACTATACACTTCAAAACGCTAGAGAAAGTTTCTACCATAAAAAAATAGTAAATGCTTGAAGAGAAAGATGTTTAACTTGAGGGCAAAGGATTTAGCTCAGTGGTTCGAACACCTGCCTCTCAAGCTCGAGGACCCAAGTTCGATCCCCGGTATCAAAAAAAAAAAAAAAAAAAAAAAAAAGTATTTAACTTGATTTAAACATTACATATTGAGTACTGAAACATTCCATGGTACCTCATGAATGTGTAATTTTTATGTACCAGTTTAAAATAATATACAAGAGAAATAGGCTGAGGTCAGATCATGGAAGGCCATATAAGCTAAGCTAAAGAATTTGTCAAATAACTTTATCCCATAAACACAAGCTGTGATTGTCACATCAGAAGAATCACTGTAAAGGTAATGTGGAAGAGGGACTAAGCTATAAACCCAAGAGACCAGGGCAGCCAGGAGAGTATATAATTACTGTCCAGTAACAAAGGATGAGGTCTGGAACCTCACTACCATCAGTGGGGAAGAGGCCATGAAAGGGAAAACTTTTCAAAAACCTATAAAGTGTTACAATGTAAAATGGCTTCTGCGGTCTCTAACAGCAGTTTGTTTTGTTTAGCTCAGAATTAATAGGCACTGAAGGCACTAATTGCTGAATGAGGCATTTGGTCTGACCCTGAGATAACAGGGCATGTCAAGGTCTTGAGCTCCGATGAGACTGGAGCCACATGATCACAAAAGTGTCTAAATGAAAGAACCCACTGCTAACATTTGCTCCCTTACCCTGAACACCCCGCTTTCCTATGGACTAGAATAGATAAGTAGGCGAATGTTAAAGTTAAACTCCCCAACTGCAAAGAATTGTTATGTCTGGGTTGAAAAGATTACGTATTCTGTGATGGTGATTTGAACTGTGAGAATGAAATGTAACCACCCAAATGAAGTCAAGACTGTGAAACCTTATAAAATGAGGAGTTGTAACCCAGTGCATTGTCGATCCAGGCACGGCTTATGTGCGATTGACCCTTATCGATGAGTAAATTTGTTATTTTACTTCCATTCTGCTGCCTCTCTGTGTCACTTACTGATTCCTTCTGTAATAGCCACTCTGTACACATAAATCATCTTTTCTACATTACTGTTCTATTTCTTTGGTACAGGCCCTGAGCCATATAGACTACCATTCCTTGTGATATAAAGCATCCCTATGAAATAACATCAGCAACATGAACTAAACATTTACTATGTTCCACACACCTAGTAAGAGCCTATCTCAATAGGCCTGCATTCTCAGGACAGCACGTTCCATGCTGAACCCCTACAGCTGCCCTCTATTTTGGTCTACCTACACTTGTTCTCCCACTAGAAGATGTGACTTCTAAGAGTCAGCAGTGCTTGTTCACAGATTTGTTTTGCCAGTTGTACTTGAGACGATTACATACTAAACATTATAGACTTAAAAAGAGGAGCACAAGGAAGTTTTTATTTTTAAAACACTGAGCTGCTTGCTTTTGAAACTCAGTAAAGGGAGCTGATTAAACAGTAACAGCAATATGTAGTAATAAATAATAGCAGAAGCAGCAAAAATAAACTGCTTGGTTTGGTGTAAGCAAAACAATTACTGTATTTAAAAAAGAGGAAAATGGGAAAAAACATCTAAGATTCTATAATCAATCTGTTTACCATAAAACATAAACAATAACAAATATAAATGCTTAGAAAAAAAGAATAAACATTATGCTGAAATAATTGAGCAAACTTTTGGAAAAGATATTTTTAAACTCAAGTAGCAAAATATTTCAACAGCAATTTTCTCCTATATAAATCGGTCTTCTCAAAAGGCTCATATGCTAGAAACTGACTAATGTGAAAATGTACTCACGAGTCTGTGGATTTTGAAAAGCCACAGTTTTGTCAATTCTTAGCTGAGACTGAAGGTCAGCTACTTCCCAACGACGGAATTCTGGTGCTGTGGTGACATTGAGCAGGAACTCCATCAAAATCTCACTGTAGAAAACATCAAGGTAAGGGTTACAGGTCAACATTCATGATTCTCTGCAACTGCAATGGTCTCTATATTAAGTCCTTGTGGCAGGCAGTGTTATGTGCACAAAGTCTGTGAACAGTAATACAGAACCAAGTGACAGGTGATACTGACATATATTAAAGATGAACTTAGAAGCTTAGCATTGCTTTAAAAGGAGATTTCTACAACACATGCAGGTACTCACATATCATCCCGCAGGCATTCCACAGTGTATGCCATGTTTTCCCTTGATGCAGTCACGCTGAATTGGAAATAAATTACGGTGAATTATGTGAATTAGGAGAATACACTTTTCCTCGTATCTTATTAAATCAGTCAAATCTTTTGGAAAGTTTTTGAAGTACTATCCCGAAGTGCCAATAATATATACTCATTAACTAAAATTTTAAGACATTAAGAAATATTCAAGAAATGGAAAATTAACCTTAAAAAGGAATGAAAGTCTGACTTGTGCTATAACATGGAAGAATCCTGAGGCTCTTATACTAGATAAATTACAAAAGGACAAATACTGTATGATTCCTTTTGTATGAAGAACCCAGAATAGCCAAAAACAAGGCACAAAACAGAACAGTGGCTGCAGGGGCTCAGGGCACAAAAAGGAATGGGGTATCACTGTTTAATAGGCAGAATTTCAGTTGGCTAAGATGATAAAGTTCCAGAGAGATGATGCTCATGACTACTGAATGTCGCTTAATACCCTACAACTTTAAAATGTTTTGGGTTTTTTTTTTTTGTACTGGGTATCAAACTCTGGCCCTTGCACTTGCAAGGTAGGCGGCAGAACCACTGAGCCAAATCCCCGACCTCTAAAATGTTAAGTTTTAGATATTTTTTACTACTGTTTTTTAAGGAGCAACAAGGGAGACAAATAAACTGAAGATACCTTTGTGCCTTTCCCAGCCCACTTTACAAACCACAATCACAATCACTTTGTTTTGTAATTTCTCCATGTGGATATACAGAGCTGGTTCATTCCTAATTGCTGTGTAGTTTCTACTCTTTATATAAAGAATAGCTTTGTGCACACGATCAAAACATTTTAGAAATTTAGTAATACTAGATATTCCTTGATTCTTTCTAATTGGTGCAATTATCCATTTATACTGTCACAAGCAAAATATGAGATTCTCAGTCTCTATTATCTTTGCCAGCACCATATTTTTAAAAAATCTTGATGGGCATGAAATAGCATCACACTGTTTGGTGATTATAAACAAAGACTGGTGTTTCTGGTTTCCTCTTCAGGGAACAGTCTGTTCTTACCCTGTCTATTCACTGTCTCTGGATAATTTTTTTTCCTAATTTATAGTTCTTTATTTTATCAAATAGAAATCCTTTGCAAATACCTACTCCCAGTTACTTACATATTTACATTAAGGCACAGATGTTTTACCCCTCCCTCTGTATCAGGGACTGAACCCAGGGCCTTGGCACTGAGCTATATCCCCAGCCCTTTTAAATTTTTTTTTTATTTTTTTAATTTTGAGAAAAGATCTCACTAGATTGCTAAATTGCCCTGACTGATCCTCCGGCCTAAGGTGGGAACACAGGCCTGTTCCACCCTACCTGGATAAACATGTTTTTACATTTTGATGCAAATTCATCATTATTTTGTCCTGGTGTTTAAGAAGTCTTCAACCATGATAAAAGAAAAGTTTCCTTACAACCCAATCTCTTCTGGTACTTTTACTATTTTTTACAAGCCTTATTATTTAACAAACCTTAATTTACCACCAACTGCTTCAATTCCACGAGCTATCTTGAAAGATGAAGCGCCTTTTGTAGTCTTGGAAAAAGAAAGAAAAATTTTCTTAGTAGTTTTTCAATACCAAGTTTCCCAAACATCATATAGTTATCAAAATCTATATAACTGTTAGTAGCAGATTCAGGAGGACTTTTACTAAATAGCAGCTCCTTTAAAGAATTATAAGCAAAGTTCAAAGACAAGCACAAGGATAGATCTTTATGCGAAGTATTTTTATGTAAAAAACTGTTATCAGATAAAAGCTTATTATATAGACTTCACTTTTCTGAAAGAGAACTGCATACAGGAAAGAAGACTTTTTTCTTTTTTTGGCACTTTGTTTTTAAAAATTTTACTGATTTCTTATGTTCTAATGCTAACATTCAGCCGACTACAAATAAAATGCTTCTCTGCAGCAAATGGCTGTGGTTCCTCATTTTATATTAGGGGATTTTATTGGGTTGGACAGTATGTCCAAAACTCATGTCCATTCAGAAACAAGGGATGTTGTCTTTATTTGGAAATAAGGTCTTTGCAGCTGTATTTAATTAGTTACTGAATTAGGGTGGGCCCTAAACCCAATATGACTAATGTCCTCATGGGAGTAAAATCTGGATACAGGGACACAGACAAAAGGACACATGACAATAGCAGGGACTGGAGTGACACAACTACAAGCAAAGGATTGTTAGCAACCACCAGAAGCTAGGAAGAAGCAGGAAGGATTCTTTTCTAGAGCCTTTAGAGGAAGCATGGATTTGGAGACAACCTGACACTTCATAAAACACCGTGACTTTGACATTTAGCCTCTAAAACTGAGGATAAATTCCTTCTGTTTAAAGCATCCAGTTTGTGGTAATTAGGTATGGCAGCTCAAGGAAACTAATATAAGGTGTTATGGGCTCGTTCTGGAATGTCTTCCCAAATCACATGTGTTGAAGTCTTGGTCCCCAGTGCAGCAATGTTTAGAGATGGGGCTTTTGGAAGGTAACTGGATCATGAGGGCTGTAATTTTATTAGCGGATTGAATGAATTAAATCACTAATTAATTAGTACTTTGATGGTATTACTGAGAGGTTGAAGATATCTTGACCTTGAAGCCCTTTTTCTTGGCTCTGGCTCTCGCTCCCCCTTTGCTTCCTGGCTACCCCAAGAGGTAAGCAGTGTTCCTTCCCTGTGCCATTCTACCATGATGTTACTGCCTTGCCAAATGCCTAAAGGCAATGGGGCCAGTCAACTATGGTCTAAAGCTGTGAACTAAAATAAACCCTTCCTCCTTTAAGTTTGATTTTCCCAGTCATTTTGTCAGTGACAGAAAGCTAACACAAGAGATGCTGATTTTAGTTTTGCTTCTTCATAGGACCAATACCACAGCATTTCCAAACGCTGCAGTAATAGATACTTACCAAAGTGGATGCAAGACGCAGCAAATGAGAGGTTCCTAAATTGTTGGAGTCCTCATATCTACTGCCTGCTTTAATGAACACACCAATTCTGCATGCAGGAGCATAGTTTTCCAGAGATGCAATCACTAAACCATTTGGTAATTTGGTAAACTGTATGTAAAATAAAGTAGTTGTGATTATTACCTTTACATTACCAAGGAAAGTAAGGTATATATGAGTTCCAGGAAAAAATTCATTAGACTAACCTCAAGGTCCTGAGGAGGTGGAGGCACTCCTGCAGGGGCAGCTGTGGCTTTAACTCTGGGGGCAACTTTGAGGGAATAAAATCTCTAAACACAAAAAAGATTGGTTACATAAATTTCTCACAAGAACACTGCTTTATACAAAAAAAATTATCTTTGTGTTGCTGAGTGACAAAGAGCAATAACCATCTCCATGACATGGCTTTGCTATGAACTGACCAGTTTACCCAAGCCATTCTTCAGCTTTCATTTATCTGGAACTGATAGAGAATACTAAGTGTTCCCCACCCTCTCTCAATAGGTCTCATTCTACAGTCTAGACTGGCCTGGAACTTGCTATGTAGCCCAGGTTGGCTTAAATTCAAAATGTTCCTGCCAAGCCCCTCTGACATTACAGGCTTGTGTCACCATGCCCAGCTAGAGAATACTGAGGCTTTTTTTGGTATTGGGAATCAAACTCAGGTCCTCGTGTTTGTGAGGCAGGCAGTGCAACCACTGAGCTAAATCCCTAGCCTGAGAATACTGAGTTCTTTATGATCACTTTTTACTATGTGAAGAATAACTATTTTCCTTACTTTTTAATTATCTTACTAAAGTTTCAAATATTTCCTTTAGCTACTTTGGAATTTTTTGAAAAAATGTAAGACTGCCCATATCAACACCCTTTTACAGATTTTAGCATTACTGCTTCCCTAACCTTCCCAATGTGTCTCACCATTTTAGTTTATTTTCCAGCTGAAATGACTTCATGTCTTCACTTATTTTAGCAATCTCTAAAAAAGCCAAAGCACACCAACTCCCTCTGAGCCTCTATTTTCTTCACTCTCTTGTGAAAATACAACAAAATAAGATACAAGATGATGATACAATGATACAAGACCACAGCCATAAGACTTACCTACTTGGACTAAATAAAAATTTTTATCATCTCAAGATTAATAATAGACTCATTCACAGCAGATTCTAAATATATAATATGCAATCAAAGGTAGGATAAAAGGGTCATATTAAATGTCAGGTAAGAGATGCAAAATGAATTCACTTTATCCAGTTTTTCTGGCAAATGATACACAGTGTCATAAGTCATTCTGACTATGACCAAGACTCGTGAGGTTACTAGTGGAGATACTGAATAAATAAAATTCAGCCCTAAGATCTGAATGTGTTGCTGGAGTTTCCTTGTGGGCTCCCAGCAGAATCTACCATGCCTCTACTCTGCACTTGTCCCAGTGGCTGTTTGCAGTGCATTCAGCATCAGTGCTGTACTAACTTGGCTGTTGGTTTTCATTTGCTTTTAGTATTACTTTTTCCCTTTTTGGTATTTTAGTTATAAATAATAATTAGCTCTGCTTTATTATTATCAGTTCAGTCTTCTATGGAATAGGAAGTGCTATTTTTTTCAAGATAAATTCCAAAGATTTATTGCACCAAATACCACAGAAAATGGATCAAAATAACACATGAACAAGTGTCAAGTGTCAAGATACACTGACATTGGTATCTATTCAACTGATCAAAAATAGTCCCTATCAATTTCTCTTCATAAAGCTTTAAGAGTAACTAATCCCAGAATTTTTTGTCTTTAGCCACCACTGAAAATTAAGCATACTGTAATCACTTCCCAAAAAGATGGCTCACCAAAGTTTGATATTTAAAAATTAACATTTAGCCAGGCATGGTGCCATACGCCTATAATCCCAGTACTAGGGAGGCTGAGGCAGGAGGATCACTAAAAATTAGAGACCAGCCTGGGCTACACAGTGAGTTCCAGAGCAGTCTGAACTACACAGTGAGACCCTGTCTTAAAAAAAAAAAAAAAAAAAAAATTAAGAGTGGGCTGTTTGATTTAGGCAAAAATTATATGAAAATACTGTCTCCTCAAGCACAGTAAAAAACCAAATGGTTTGCATTAACTAAGGGAAGCTCAAGACTGTCTAATTTAATAGCTAAAGTATGCACGAACAAAATACTCTGCTTATGTCACTAGTGCAAAATCCAGACATTTAAAAGAATTTGGGTGTCACTTTATATTCTTTATGTACAACCAACTTTAGTGAAGAACTTAGAAAGCTACAGACTATCCTTTTAGAAATCTGAGTACCTAAAATTCAATAGTCCAAAGAACAATTTAGCATCATTTAGCAAGTGGGAAATTTCCTCCTTCCAAAAAAGTTAATTCTGAAAAATACGGATGTTTAAAAAGTCACAATGTGTAAACAGCAGTTCCAAGGGATGTGAAGAGATTACAGCTACTTTCATTAAAAAACAGCACACTTCAGAAAAATGGATTAAAGCCTGTACAAAAAGCTATTTAACACTGATATTTTCATTGTGTTTAAAATGTGCACAATTACCTTTATATTCTTATCACTTATCAGTTTGTTAAAAATAAAACTGCAACATGCTAGGAGTGGGAATCACAGTAACACTGATGTACTTCTGCTCTGTTATGCCTCACTAGCTTGCTCAGAAAAGTAACAGGTATACCTGTAATCCCAGCACTTGGGAGGCTGAGGCAGGAGAATCACTATGAGTTCAAGACCAGCCTGGGCTACATGAGTTCCAAGGCAGTCGCAGCTACATAGTGAGACCCTGTCTCAAGATAACCAA